TTAACGCTGTATTTGTAATATCACCCGTAATAAAGACAAATTTTAAATTAATTGTTAAATTTTTTGATAATTCATTTATTTTATGAATAGCTGATTGAAGACGAATAGTTGAATTGAGTCCATCAGCGCCCATATGAACATCAGATAAAATAGCAAACGTATAATAATTAGCATTACTATTTATACATTCAATAAATGATAAAATTTTGAATATAAAATAAATCAATGTTAATAAATTTATCGTCAAATAATTCATTATTGGCAATAAAGATCTTTTCTTTTTTCAAACAAAATAACATTAAACTATTATTATTCAACTGATGTATTGTTATGCGAATTTAAACATCTGGTTTGTTTTTTGAAAAAAGTATTAGTCATCGCAAGGGTACGGTTTATACTCTTTCAGATGTATTTGGTACGGAAAGACTGAAAATAATATTCACATGGAGGATTGTTTTTCTTTCTCTAATGACAGCATAGAGAAGAGAAACCGTTCTCTTTGTGCTGTTAATTTCTACTATTGATCAATAAATCACAAAAAAAATAAAAAATATCATTTTAAGTAATAATTGAATGTAAAATTTAAATTAAATGTGAATCATCTAGACGATTTATTCAATTAAAACTTTAAAAACTTTACATTATTATGTACTGAATTAGACATACAACAGTTAACTGTAACTGTTGAAAAACTGTAGAACTGCGAAATAAATAACAAGAAAGATACAACATTTTCTGTTTAATATTAGAGACCAATTGAAATATTGTTAGAAGGTGAACGACCGAAACTTCATTTGATCTAAGTATTAACTGATGAAGTGAGAATGAACGTTATATTATGCGCTGAAGTTTTTACCAAAAAAATAACTTTTGTACACTCTAAAAAAAGAACAACATCAGAAAACTGAAACTGTGTTTTTCATTTGTCCCAAATAGGGATCTGATGTGAGTTTTCTGAAAATTTGCAAAACTAATTTTTTTCATTTTTCGGAAGAACAGAAATTGAGTTTTTTCAGATCCCTATTTGGGACATTTGTTTTCCAGAAATATTAGGTCAAAAAACACATTTTCTGTTTTTCGCTTTTTTTCAAAAAGCTCAATCTTATTCTTTCTTGTCGTCAGTCCACTTTCAATACTATACCTGTGATCAACTGCTGACGTATCGTTTATACTGTATGAATACTGTCAGCTAGAGGCCTGTATGAGTGAAGAAAGCTATGTAACCCACATCCTACACAATCAGCGTTTGGACTCTGATTCCATCCGGATCAAATCAGGTTTCAGACGCCGTATGTACTCGACTCGCAGGGTTCGAGTCGAATTTTAGAACCCTGTTGTCAAGAATAAATGTGTTCTCGAAGCGTGCACGTTGCTGTTATATAAAGAGATATTTGTAAGATTGAAGAATTATTTCGTAAGGTGAAAATTTTTAATAAAAATAATAGGACTAAAGTCACCTTTTTAAACATAAGTATAAAGTAACAACTTTATACTTATGTTTAAAAAGGTGACTTTAGTCCTATTATTTATATTTGTAAGAATAAGTTTAAGTTTCTGTAAGAAAAAAGCATGTCTCTTATATATATCAGGAATTGAAAAACAAAATCGATGATGGACATATGTGATTTTCGTTTCCTTTTTAAATTTCAAGATCTTTAAAGAACTTAATAGAAATATTGTGTTTTCCAAATCTTGAAAAACAAAATTTCTGAAGAACTAAAATGAGCTGAAAAACTGAAATGAATGAAAAACTCATTTTCTACTGAAAAATAAAATCAAGTTCTTCATATTTCAAAGAATTTGAATAATCTTCAACCAGTTCTTTGAAAACACAAAGAATACGTTTTTTTTTAGAGTGTAGCCATTTCTGTTCGAAAAATATCTCAAGTTTCGCATTAAACCATACACATTATCTTAAATCATGTTTGAAATACATCAATAATTTTGACACTTTAAACTTGTATTATGATTCATTCATTTTAAAAGATAGTTTACATCATGTTACACATAAATCTGATAATCATGCATAATAAGAGTGCTAATGTAAAAGTATGTATAGATTTCAGATTTAATCTTGAATAGCATCTGCCTTTTTTAATATTTTTTCTAATTCTCCTTTTTTATCCAAAGCTTCTGTATCATCTCCACCACCAATACATTTACCAGCGATAAATATGCGGGGAACTGTGCGCGCTGATGTGATTTCACCTAATACTTGTTGATACGAATTACCATCATCTATTTGATCTAATTCAATAACTTTATTACTTTTTAATTTATATTTTGATAAAACTTTCTTTGCTAAAACAGGAAATAAAATTTGACTAATTTTAGTTACAGGACTATCCATAATCACATTACCTTTTACACAATAAGGGCAGGCTGTTTTTGAAAATACCATAACCGTATTTTCTCTGATTAAGGTTTTAACTTGATCAGCAACAGCAGATGATTTGTTAGACATTTGAAATAATTGACGAAAACTTTTATGGTTTACTTGAGATAAAAATTGTCGATGTCTGAAAATAAAAGATGAAATATATTACGATTTTCTATACGATGATGACAGAATAAATTTCTAATAGATAATATAAAGATCATGCATAAAGTTACTTAAGTTGTTTAGTTCTTTGTCAGTGTTTTTTTTTCGAAGAGAGATAGAAAGTCTGATGTGAACAGCTAAAGCTTTTTATCTTGAGTAACTGCATGTTTTAAGCTAATGGAAGGCTGCGATTGAGCTCCTCAATACCGCCTATACTGTTTCTTAATCATACCTTTTCCAAAATGAGATTAATCAAACAAGATTTTTTTTATAAGATTCTCAACAATCATTGCATTCTTTCGGATGTCACTCTTATTCAATATAAAATCAAAAGGTATTCTGGCAGGCTAAATAATTCTAGAGGAGTTCGGGTGGCAGATATTTTTAAGACCTATGTATTCCTTTTTTCACTGAACAGCAATTGAGTAGAATGGCTTACCAGAGTACGTTGTTACAGCTAACATCATAAGTTCAAAAAACGTTCAGGCACAGGCTAGAGGACTTCTTAGCTTAGAGCGTTAATACTTTCTCTTTCTCTCGTTCTTTTTGTTTGTTTTCTTTGTCGAGATTAGAAGGGTCGCAGTCTAACAAGAGCAGTATGTGCTTTTTCTGTTTTTTTCTCGTGCAACAACCTCTTTCGATTTTAGTTTACTGTATTGATTCGTTTTACTTTTTTGTTGTCAAATACATGTCTAAGTCTAAAAAAAAAAAGATGCAGAAAATGAGATATAACTGAATTATCTTTTAAATTAGGCATCAATACAGATCTTAACATTCGTAGATTTTACGCATCCTACATTTGAACAGAATTTTGTTACAACAATTAATCTTTTTATTCATTATATCTGGTTTAACCTCTTGGATGTTGTAAGACATCTATAGATGACATGAAGGAAATTTTGTATGTTGCATATGCTTTTTCGTTCTATCGTTTTAACGAAAAAAAAGTGTCAGAGGAACACATGTGACGAAAACAACAGAACGTAAAGAGAGATATTTAATCGTTTTTTTACATATGGATGCTTTTGGACGCGGAAGAGGAAAAATAACGGCATTCAAGAGGTTAATAGTACCAGCCAGACTCAAAATATTTTTGACACTTTTATATAGAAAAAACCGTATAATCCCACTGAACTACAAAAGGCTAGATGGCTCTTTAGAAAGAAACGTATTCTCGGAAATCTAAAAAGTTTTCCAGGTTTGTCATTATATGCAACGCTGAAAGACATTCCGAAAAAAATTTTCGAATCTTTGAAACTCTTCAGTCGTTTCATATAGTGGCAAACTAGGAAGGTTTTTGAATTCATGTGGTTGACGTTTTACTACGTCTTGATCTTTTTAACTGTAAGAATTGGAGAATAAGTGTGGATCTACCTCTGCAGATAAAAGCAAGAAATATTCTACTTTCTTGTTTTTTTCTTGCTTTCTTGCAGCTTCTTATATCAAGAAGTTCTACTAGGGTGTCGCTTAGTTCTGGACTAAATTCAACGGTTTACTTGATTATTGGTTTAGGACACACTGTTCGATTAGAGCACACTGGATTTCATTCACAATGAGATCGCCCTAATGAATCGCTTATACTGAGAGTCAGCTTCACATCCTCTATCACAGAGATCTTTTCGTCAGCACATCATGATTGAAAGATGTACAAGCAATGTGATACAGGCTTAAGTAAATAGCATATTCTCAAAAATATGTTGGAAATGTCACAACAATCCTTCAGCAGTTCTCGTTTCACACTCTAGATAACGACAACGATGTTCCCTCGAGAACCAGCGACACATCTGTTCCACGATAACGACCACAATCTTGAAAATTTTACTGTTGCTTGGCTTGACGCTGATTTAGATAAAACAGATGATTGCCACGACACAAAAAAGCGTTTAAGAACCATTGCTAACCATTTAAGAACGTTTTGTGATGCTGATGAATGTATCGATTATATCTCATCAATTAAAATGGAGCAAGTGTTGCTAATTCTGTCTGGTTCGTTCGGTGAAATCATCGCTCCTCTCATTTTCGAACTATCTCAAATAAAATTCGTGGTGTTTTTACTCATAAAGACTTTCTTCTTACACAGATAGCTGAGGATGCTAAAGTTTTATCAAACGACATGATGCCAATGAATGTATTTAGTTTGTCGCACCATGAAAAATCCATTCGTGATTTAGACAAAGAAAGCGCTGTATTTATGTGGAATCAGTTGTTAATGGATGTTCTACTTCGCATGCCAACATCTGACGAATCGAAAATGGAAATGTTAACCGAATGTGAATCATATTACAGAGACAATGCTAAAGAACTCAAAAAGATAAATGATTTTCGTTTGAATTATTCGTCTGATGTATAAATAAAGTTATGTTTTGTTGGGTTTTGAGCTCGTCCAGCGCGCTATAAAACGAGTGATATCTGCTAATGCAGTTAAGGTCCTCCAGTCAAAAATTCTTTCCTAATGTTAGAAGAGAAAATCTCATTTGCGGATAGAAATATGCAACTTTGTATGCTCTTTCCAGCTAGCAGTATGAGAACGCTTGTTAGTATTAGGTAAGGTCAGATTTCGCTCTTCTGGCACCCCTAAAAACGCTTCAATTCAGAACTTATGGCCGAGGAAAAACCGTGTTCGGAATAATTTTTCGATGGGCCGACAATGGTCTTTCCATACCTTTAGTAGGACTATCGATTGCATATAGTCAAACCTTCCCGGCTTTAAGTCGTGTATAAAGTGGGCGGACCTGTGCGGAAGTACCCAACGGCATTCAAGAGGTTAAAGTTCTGAAAAAATTTTAAGTCAAAATTTCTCTTTGCATAACGACGAAGTGGATTTTTACTTCTTTCCATCTTCTTATTGAAAATGCTGCTCACCTCTATTCCTAAATCGTATAAAAAGTGGTATCTTGTTACTGTGAGAACATCCACATATCATTCATCGAACACAAAAACTACTTACCAAATGAATTATATAAAAGTTAACTACATGGCTTAAAAAAATGATGATTTCGTCTCGAAACTTTTACAGCCTGTTGATCTCGTATCAGATCTTTCTAGTCGTTTCTCTCTGAGTCAATGCACAAAATTCTTTTTTGTTCTTCTTCTGGGAAAATTCTTACAATCGCAGAGTATATGCAGATATTGTATAAAACAGTGAATTCGTGTGCAAATGGAGTACTAATTAACAGAAATAAACTTATAAATTTTATGTGAGAATCAAAGAAATGTTTTAGTAGATATATGATGCTTATTTCAACCAGTGTATTATAAAAATCCATATTCATTTGATGTGTCAAGTTCTATAAAGAGAATTAATGATGATTTTTAATCTGATGTAAACATGTGTTCGGTTAGGAGAGAAAACCACGTCGTATTCAATGTTAGGTCAATTCATTACTTTATCAAATTAGATAATTAACTTGATTGATTCTTAACGCTATTTCTATGAGGCGAATTTTTTCCATTAAGTGAAATCATCGCAATTGATATCACATATTCTCCAATTTGTTGGAATAACTCGTCTCGTATGTATGAAGTGATATACTGTCAAAAAACATTTCTATCTTTAATAAGCTTAAAACGTTCTTAGAATTCATTAAAACTATCAAAATAAAACAATAAAGAATAGAATAAATAATTGTGTCTGAGTGGAAGTAAAATGATTGCAACAATTTTCTTTAATGTAACATAAAATTTGATTTCGATTTTTCAATTGTGACGATTTTTCCGTCGCACTTGGGACAATGATGATGAGCGGGTATTTGTGCATAATACAGAACTTAGTTCTGATTGTGGACTTGTTGCTAATTGACTTTTATCCACATCTCTAAACGTTGGAAGATAGTCTGAATTTGTATTTGTTTCAATTGTTTGCAGTCATAGTTACTGCTGAAACAGTTTTATATTAGTAGCAGCTGGTTTTGTCACAAAAGATGTAGAATTTTCAGTCAGAGCGCCAAGCCTAAAATGCATAATAGGATAACGTTGTCCTCAATTCAAAATCTTAAATTTTGCCCACATTATGTCTGAAAGAATGTATCTCAATCAGAGAACTTATCCCTAAAATATTTTCTTAATCAAGCGCTTCCTTCCTTAGTAGGTCGTCTATGCATGTGATGATTGGCTAAAAAAATGAGCCCGTTGATAACGCAATAAAGTCACAGAAATCAACCATATTGAATATCGTTTCCATGTACTACTCTTCTGTATACGACATTTTTGCATAGACGACCTACTAAAGAAGGAAACGCTTGATTAAGAAAATATTTTAGGAATAAGTTCTCTGATTGAGATACAGTCTTTCAGACATAATGTGGACAAAATTTTAGATTTTGAATTGAGGACAACGTTATTCTATTATGCATTTTAGGCTTGGCGCTCCGACTGTTTTATTTCATGAATGTCTTTGCTGCAATTCTTTATCCACTAATTGTTTTGCCAACGACGGAAAGTAAGCAGTAATATCACTGACAGATGTAAGTATCCCTAATAAAAATTTAATACGTTTTTCATGTTCATCTGGCACGTTCATATCATTTTCATGAAGTATTGGT